AACTTCAGATGACCATAGCATTGTATGTGGTGAGAAACTGAAGTACACCACCGTAAACAGTATTCATCTGTGCAGCATCAAATGCACCTCATTTTAGTAGATACTTATAAACTCGCTTCATGTCACCAAGTGCTAAGTAGATTCCGTCGTACATAGGAATATCGGCTTCTACGTAGGAACATATAGGTTTATACTCTACGAATGTATTGTCTGGGACCAATGTTTTATGTGATCCAACAACGTACGGTTTTCAATTGTGATGGTTTGAGTATCAACCAAGATACTTGACTGCCTTAGATTTGTGGGACATTATACTTGTCTAATACTTTCAAAGTTTCGCCGGTTTTGAGTATCTTCATGTTGTACTCTGCAAATAACAGTTATAGAGTCAGGTCGGCAAAGTCCGACTACATCTATTTGGCATAAACAGTGCTAACACAAAATATATACAAACATACCCAATAATATAATCTATTTTTGATACCTCTTTTACGGAAGTATGATTCGTCTCCTCTTTCGTATGTCGATACAGCCCTTTTCTATTTGTTTAGCTGAGAACCAAACCTTGCAGCTATCTTCAGCATTAGATTTTACTTTCATACCTGCACACGCGTAAGATCAGTAGTTAGAATTTGAGCACTGGTTATTCAATAATAAAGAGATTTGTTAAGACTGCGACCACTACGACTGTGACCGGGTCTTGCGATCACTATGACTGCAATTGTCGCCTGCGACAAGTAAGGCTGAGGCTCTCGCCTGCGACCACTAAGTCTGAGGCTCTCGCCTGCGACCGCTAAACCTGCCGCTCTCGCCCGCGACTTGTCTTAAATCTGACGCTCTCGCCTGCTATATATATATGTATATAAATGTATATTTAGATATGTATATATGTGTCAATAAATACGTTAAATATGTATATATGTGTAAATAAATACGTACAAGTTTATTAAAAAAACCACTGCAGAGAGTATAGAACCTGTGCCCAAAAAAAACCATTATCTTAGATAGTCACACCATCGTTGCCGCTGCGCTATTGATGTTGTGTGATTTTTGAAAAATAAAAATATAATCTAATTTTTGTAATTGGGTCGCAGGCGAGAATATAAAAAACTATAAAAAAGCTATATATATAAAAATCAAAAACAGAATATCGAGACAGACATTTGCCGCCAAATTTGAAATCCGCGTCATGTGTTTTTGTGTGTGTGAGAAAGAGCGAGTGGCACTAAAACCAATTACAAAATAAAGACAGATATCACAGATAAGAACCAATATGCACATTCTTTGCAGGTGGAAGGTCAGTACATTGTGACATTTGATAGTGAATACTTGTGCATAGGCTTAAACGTCGCAGGAGACCTTCTACTTTTCATTCTAGTTAACTAGAAATCAATATAAATGCGCTGGTGTGTCTGAGATGTCAAAAACAAAGTGTATATGTAGTCGGGTTACGTTCGTCTTCTTATGGTTCATCTAAATTGACAAGTTACTAGTTCTTATAAGTGTAACTCTAGGCATAATAAAACAAAGCACACCAACTATTTACCTTGTGGATTGGAATCACAATACATGGTGACATATGAACCGCCGCTTTTTCCAACGTACAATGCAGTCCCTGGGCTGATAAAATTGTTCTTAAAGACATAATCTGCCTGAATAGCGCGAGACTCGTCATTGACTCGTATACAACTCAACGGTGTATTTAAAAGGAAGTATAAAACATGAACAATTAGTATA